AATCTAATTCTAATTCATACCAATATGTAGAAATCATTAAAAAAATGTATTGATTATTTACTGACGATTGCAATTGTCAAAATGATACTACTACGCACAACTGAGTTCGTTAATTGATGATGGATATAATCCTTTACGGGTCCCCGCGCCATTCCTTTACATCGAAGCGAGACTACCGTTGTACATACAATGATAGATACCTGTGAATAATTGTCAGTAGACCTCTAAGTGTGAAATTGCACACGCTCAAGGTCGGATCGCTTTGATGCAAAGGCACGTCTACTTTTCAAGATGGCACAGGAAACCGTGAAGAATAATGGTCTATGGCAAACGTTGGCTCCATTTAGTCATAGTGATTGCAACAATTGAAATGTTTTATGTCAAATTGAGTAGCCATAGTCATTTCATACAATCTTCTTTCGAAATCATTTCGTTCTCCCCGAAAACGTCATAATTATTTACACAAGAAGCTGTCAATCAAATTTTTTGGGCTGGCATCTTGGAGGGACTTCAACAAAAGATTTCTTAGTATCTTAGTATCTTTATCTTAGTTTCTTTAGTATCTATTGTTCATTCGTCAAACATGGCCGCCAGTTATCTATTGAATCTCATTGGAATGGTTGCAGAAAACGATCAATTGTTAATATAACATATTTCTAACATTCTCCTGCTTAATTAAAGGTATTGCCCGGAGTTGCAACATCATTTGTGGATTGTGTTTCGTTCATGGCATTTCTTCGTTTCTTGGTTGGATTCTCAATTCCTGGAGTTATGCTACCATCGTTTATATACGTGATGGAATTCGTTGGTCCTTCATACCGCACCGCCGCCGGCAACTTTGGTGTATTTGTGTTCAGTTTAGTTGGACTATGGACTGTATTTTGTGCTTACTTCCTTCGTGATTGGAGATGGTTTCTTCTCGTTTGTACTGCGCCAGCAGCATTGCTTTTCCCGTTTTGGAAGTGAGTAACTAGCTGTTTTCCTTTCCTTTTTTTTTCTTTTTTGGTTTATTTTCCATCAAACTCAAAATATCTATTTGCTATAAATTCTCAGAAGATTTTTAGTATGGTCAAAAAATTGACCATGGCAACATCATCGCAGATCTTCATGTTAACATATACTAGCCACAGGCTTCAGTAAGAATTACGGTCTTTCTGATCTACCCTTGATAGCTCACTGCATTGAAAGTGAATTGATATGGTCTGTTGGTTTCAGAAATTTGCATACTCTCGATGAAAATCGAGTACAAGAAATGTATAGAGCTTTAAGCTTATGGTGCTTAATATCTATGTAGACTGCCTTCCCCTAATTTGGTTACACTGTTCTGTGTTGTGACTTTCATTGATAGTAAATATTTAAAAACATTTCGTTTCAATTCCCATATTATAAGTATGATAACATACTTCTCATGTCATTTTTTGTCAGCCAATCAGAAGAAAAGATAAATTACGCCCACCTCAGGGGTATATTTTCTAGCCAATCACTTTGCTGYTTTAGAGATTAAAAATTTCCACCAATCACAAACGCCGAATTCGAATCGAATTCGCTTTTCTATGGTCTTTACGCTTATCGACAATGAAAATGGCGTCAGAAAATGATCAAAACTCAAGTGGAACCAGGAGMGTAGCATAACAAGGCCGAAAAAAAGTATAMCTTTCAAACAAAATCATTTCTGGTGCACGCCGGCTCCGTGCGCGAGCGATTTGTCGTTTCATCGGTCTGTCCTATGATCGACAACGTCTCTCGAMCAATCAGCTCGCGAGAACTCTACAAGGTATGGTAAAAAGTGCCTTGTTTTTGAACTCTYCAAAAATACCGTGGCAGCCATCTTGGCGCYGCTGACCAACTCYACATATTCGCTTACGAGCTGGTCTTCACGCTCCTCTGCGCGTTGAAGGGGAAGGCATTGATCCGAATATGCCGGTAATTGTACTTAACACAAAACATAAAATTTCTTCAGAGTTTTCTCAGGTTTTTATCTCTGCTTTACGATGCGCCCCTTAAACATCTCGAAACGCGAGACAAAAAAGAAAGGCAGCCCAGGTTCGGTATAGACTGTAATGAAAATTTATTTATCAGAGTTTTCCCGGAATCTCCCCGGTGGCTGATCGCTAAAAATCGCTTAGAASAAGCTCAATCTGTACTCATGAAGTATGGCGGTAAGAACAATGAGCCCGTCGATGAACAGAAGGTACGAGAACTCATCCAAGATATACGAAGACAAGAACTGGCGACGATCGCAGTACAAAAGAACTATTCGCCATTGGACCTTGTGAGAACCCGAAAGATGAGAAAATGGACTTTGATCATATGCTATCAATGGTAGGAAACGAGACGTAATTAAGGCTTTTCTCTTTTCCATTTTAATTTAGTTTCCTCGCCCTTCTGTATTTTTAGGGCCTTTTAATTTGTCTGTATTTGTAATGCAACAGAAATTTTTAAATAAAATTGCTTCCAGTTCAGTTGGGTGACAAAAAAATCAGACAAATTGACAGACAAAATTTGTTAATTGATTTTACAAGATATTTGCAATGTTTTATTGAATGTATAAAACATTTTTTACAAGATAGTTACAGAATATACATAATTGTTTTTACAAACTTTGTAAAAGGACATTTGGTCTATTGAATTTACAGTATATTTATAKTTACATGTCACTTATCAACTTTTCCAGTGTTTACAAGTACATTTATTATATTTTGCTTTTTTGGTGTGTTTTATAGGTGGGCTGTAGCGATAGTAAGTTTTGGGATTTTGCTATTTTTTACCCAGCTTGCTGGTAGTCCCTACATCAACTTTCTTATCATGAATGGAGCAGCTGCACTTACAATCACCTTTGTCACCTTTGTTACCTACTTGAAGTAAGTATTAACTATACCTTCCACAATTCAATGACAACTTGTGGCAAAATTGTGGCTTGAAATAAGAAATAAAAAAACGACCCATAATATTCATGACATTATCAACCACTTCTTCGAATTGATTTCTTGGCSAACGATTTTCTTAGCTATCCGAGGAATATAAATAATCATATGAAATATTTTTCCATATAGGTGTTGCGCAGCATGCTCCCTATTATGAAAGAAAATACGTTTAACTTTGTCTTGACCTTTCTTTTTCCAACAGATTTGGACGTCGTATWACTCATGCTGCTTTTATAGTGATTGCTGGTGTCGTTCTTCTATCAATACTGGCAGTGCATGACGGTAAATCATCGACCACTTATTTGATTGAAATTGAAAATAGATTTATGCGGAGAGGTCACAAATTCCTACCGTGATATTTTAATCATTACCAGATTTGGTCTCCGTGATCCACTATCATGGGCTGCACGCATCTACCATTTAGTATGTCCCATTCCACAATCCTTTTTAATCACGCTCTATAAATCAAGARAAAGACTAAATTAGAGTCAAAGTCAACCCTTACGCAAAAAAAAAACATTATTTTTAGATTTTCCATTGGCGACCACAATCTTAAGTCTGATTGGCTACATTACAATCGACAGTAATTGGATTGGTGTCTACATTATTACGACCGAGATGTWCCCGACTGTAGTCAGGTATTGTGTTGCTGTTTTGTTATTTCTGGCCTTAGAGAGCTCGTCAAAATTAATCMAATCCTATTGTTTGGTGTTTTTCGGGTGAATGTGGAAGTTACAGTAGTTCAAAAATGATATAATACGCAAACTCGAGAAAATGTACTATGTGGAAAGCATTCCCACACGATCCCCATACATTCATACGCTCGTATTTATTTTGATGTGTTTATTAAGACCATATAGGTCACGTGGAGATTTTTGCAACGGTAAAACGTGTACCCTGTCTCCTGCTCGGACATGAAAGCTGGCAATACTGTAGTATAACACTTTTCTATGAATTCAAACTTCCATAGCTGTCGAAATTGAGCTCGATACTGATGCGAGGTCTAAGTAATGATTTTATTCTACATTTTTCTGTTTTTATGCCCCTCTTTAGCAAAATTGTACTTTCTCCTTATGCATTATCTTAATTATAATTGTGATTTTAGGAACACTGCACAGGGAGTTGGATCGGCTATGGCTCGTTTTGGTGCAATATTAGCTCCTTATATTTCTATGATGGTAATGTCGATCATTATACCAAATTACATGCGTCGGCAAATTACATGCGTCGTTCATTAATGGTTTAATTTTTGATCTCTTTAAAGTGCTACTTGAATGAAAAAGGCCTTATTTCAAAACTTCAAGCAATACAAATATATGACTCACATATATCTATTAAAAACAATTGCGGGAAAATATTTGTTTTGGAATTGTCCCACATCAGAGAAATTTTGATTCAAAAGATGGAAGAACAAAAGGATGGAGTAAATGACGTCATCTACTCCAACATTTTTTCCAAATTATTAAGGATTTGTACCAATATCTTCTTAAAATCTGTTGCTTCATAGTTATTAGACCTATATGGATAGTTCTATTTGATTTCCGAGTCTTTTCTAATGTTTCGCAATTTTCGTCAAAGTAGCCCTTTAACGATTTTTTACGTGTAAAAAAATTAGAGTAAAAAAAAAACGTGAAATAGAGTGAGGTCAATAAACCCGTGAAACAAAAATTGACTATTAAAAGTTAGTCAAACCTAAATCAATCAATCTTCAATGTTCCAATACGCTTCATTTTTTGTGTTTTAATTCAGAGTCAGCTACCAGGCCTTGGACTTGCATTTCCTGTCGTTATCTTTGGTGTGCTCGCATTGGTTGCTGGGATATTGATGTATTGGATTCCCGAGACGCTCTACGCGCCCATGCACCAGACCATTGGCGAGGCTGAATCTGCGGAGGAAGATTTTGGCATTCCTTGTTGTGGCAAGAAAAACAAGTCACCCAGAGTTCGCGTTCCTATGAGCGGTGAATATAACATGAATGACAAGGAACATGAAATGACGAAATTGTAGTCGGATTTTAATTATGCACTAGTCAGGAAACCTCCGTCCCCCGACTTCCGGGAAATTCCGGGGAATTTAACCTTGAATGGTTAATTTTCGTAATCATTTTGTACTCATTAATTGCTTACTACATGAGAGTAACAGTGGTCGAAGTAATAAGTTTCTTTTAACTTTTCATGAAAGGAAAAATAGACAAATACACAATATAAATAACAATGAAAAAATGTATACAAATGTAGCCAAGGCTGCTATGATGTCGAAAATGTATATCGACATCATAGCAGCCTTGGCTRCATTTGTATACATTTTTTCTTATCACAATCATGCTGCTAAAGGATACCTTCACTTAAATAACAATGCTTTCAGGGAATTGTAAAGATKGACGACCTGTAGGTTCCAGACTCATAGATGTGCAAACGAACGTTAAAATCCCCGCTCTTTTGCTTCTCTCACAACCTCCCCCCCTTCAAAACAATTTATCAAAATCCCGTGCCACCGGGAAACTCTTACTGTTAAAAACGCTTCACGTCTCCGTTTATTGCTGCGCTAGTCCCGGGGATCGGGGGGCGGGGGTTTCAATTGACTAGCGCATTATTGAAAGAACTATAATTGTCTGATGTGAGATTAAAGATATTCTTAAGACTAATATCGTTGCCATGTACGTTACCACCCAATTCAAATTCTGTGGGAAAAAGAACTTTTTTGTTTCTAAGAATTCAACTGTGATTTGAAAATACAACAAACAGKGACACATACTCCCGGGTGGTATGAATTGGGTGGAAACGTTTATGAGCAACATGTTAGCCGCGATTAGGTCTATAAGGCATAAGAAACAGAACAATGTTAGATGACACCATTGTTCCACATTATTCTAATCATCTACAATGTTGCTAGAGGAAAAATATAAATAATTATACTTTAGGGAACTTTGCGTACCTTAACTAATTAAGTGAGATTGTAAACAGTTCATTATTTGGTCTGAAGATAGTTTGCGAACA